ATATATATATATATATATATATATATATATATATATATATATATATATGTATATATATATGTGTGTGTGTATGTATATATATATGTGTATATGTATATGGATATATATATGTGTATGTGTATATATATATATATACATATATAGGTATTTTTTTTTCTGTTTGTTTGTTTTTTGTTTGTTTTTTTTGTTGGTTATTGAGTTGGCTTTATCTGTATTTGTATGCGTATATGTATGTGTGTATATATATATATATATCTATATATGTGTGTGTGTATACTTTTATTTAGTTGTTTATTTATTTAGTTTGTTTGTTTGTTCGTTTGTTTGTTGGGGTGGGGGTGGTATATATAAACACACATGCATACACATACATACAGAGATAAATACATATACACACATACATATATATACACACACATAGATACATAGACACATATACATACAATACTCAACACATACACACAAACGCGCATGCATGCATGCATGCATGCATGCATGCGTGTGGGGGGAATGCATGCATGCATGCATGCACGGCTCTGCATGCATGCATGCATGCATGCACGGCTCTGCATGCATGCATGCATGCATGCATGCAGAGCCAGCATCAAGGAAGGAGCTGAAGAGAGCGGCAGGGGGACAGTGAGGCGAAGCAAAGCGATTAAAGAAAGGAGACAGAAAAGGAGACAGATAGATAATATAAAAGGAGACAGAAAAGGAGACAGATAGATAATATAAAAAGAGACAGACAGGGAGACAAAGGTAGACAAATACTAAAAGGGAGACAGAAGAAGAGAACCCAGCAGCAGGATGCTGAAAAAGGAGACAGAAGAGGAGACAGCAGCAGAATCCTAAAAAGGAGACAGAAGATGAGACAGCAGCAGAACCCTAGAAAGGAGACAGGAGAGGAGACAGAAGAGGAGACAGAAGAAGAGGAGACAGCAGCAGACTCTAGAAAGGAGACAGAAGAAGAGACAGAAGAAAAGGAGGCAGCAGCAGCAGAATCCTAGAAAGGAGACAGAAGAAGAGACAGAAGAAGAGGCAGAGGAGGAGACAGAAGAAGAGACAGAAGAAGAGGAGACAGCTAGAAAGGAGACAGCTAGAAAGGAGACAGCTAGAAAGGAGACACAAGCTAGAAAGGAGACACAAGCTAGAAAGGAGACAGTTTTGTGGTGTACGTACACCTCGACGAGCTGCCTGCTGTCTTCACAACGATGTTGGGGGTGAGGCTGCTGTTCTCCTCCGTCACCCAACACACACCCGTTATCTCCTTTGTTACTGGGTCTTGCACTGTATATACACACACAAATATATATCATGTATACGCATACATGCATGCATGCATGCATGCATGCATGCAGGGGTGCATGCAGGGGTGCATGCATGCATGCAGGGGTTTGGTTGGTTGGTTGGTGCTGTATGTATGTGCATGCATGCACGTGGACAGACACTGC